CTGTAAATCATTAGTGGTCTTTTCTCTATCTTGTGATTTCCTTCAGCTTATGGGTGAGATCTCCATCAATATCTCCAATGGTTTCTGTAATGGAACCAAGATACTTAAAGATTTCATTTTGCAGTGTCTTCACCTTCTCATGCTCCATTCTGTTTGAATTTACATTTCAAATATTTTATTTTAGAGAAACTGAATTGGAAACGCTTAAGATTCCAAAGTCTCTTTCCATAACTCAAGTTTGGCAGTAAGCATTCTTTTTTTTATCAACCACACCCTATCATTCAGCAAAAAAGCTTTAAATAATATATAATATCCTGAATATATCTGGTAAGTCATCCATTACTAGGGCAAAAAGGTAAAAGACTGAAAGCTGACTGCTGGTTTAGGCTTATTGCTATTCAAAATGCTTTGTCCTTACACAATAATTGCTTGATTACATGTGTTTCATCACTTGGCTATAAGTAATACGTACTCATTTCTTCTAACATATTGATTGATAATAAAAGGAAAACAACAAAAAGAGTTGAATAGAAGGTGTTGGCAGGATTGACTTGTCGTTTGTAACAGTCTATTAATACAACTATGGACAGTTTTATAAATGCATGAGAGGGCTTTTCTCTTGCTAATAAATTGGAAAAGTCTCTTATTGTGAGTGTTTCAATTTCCTAGTTGTTTGCATAAGTAAGAATATTCCATCTAATAGCATAATGCTTTTGTTTTTTTCCATTCTTTTTTCCTTTCAAATTTTTATTTTCCTTTGGGATGTGGTTGTCAGGGTGGTTGGATAATTCAGCATTAAATTCTGACTGTTGCTTGATATGTCTTCCACCATTATGACATTTTAGATTTTTGATGTTTTTTCTGAAATTTAATGCTGAAATTAGCACCCTCTGGTTGGGTACGGTGAGAAGTATTGACAGATGTGTAGAAAGTGATGACTTGCTATGACTTATCTTCTTGTGATTCTACTTGTCAAAAAATTTTCTTACTATACGGTAGCCAATGCAAAATTTCATCACAGGTGTCCAGTTGGGATTAAATGGATAGCCAATTGATGGCCTTCATTGTTTCTTGATAATTGATCTGTTTGTGTAGTTCAGTGGAGAATATGAGTTGAAAAATCCAGGCTAATGGGCCTATGATCTTTTTTTCCTTCTTTCATACCTTTACAAATAAAACTTAAAAAATGGGTATACATATTTATTCAACTGTTATGTTACTTTGTTGTCCATTTAAATTTCAAATACAGAAGAGCACTTGACAGTGGCATCCAATGTAGAAGAGCAATGAGTTTGTCACGACTTATCTTTATGTGATTCTACTTTCCACAAAATTTTCTCACCATATGGTGGCTGATGCAAAATTTAATCACAAAAGTGTATAGTTAGCATTAAATGGATAGCTAATTTGTGGACTTCATTGTTTCTTGAGAATTGATCTATTTCTGTAGTTCAGTGGAGAATATTAGTTGAAAAAACCAGACTAATGGGCCTATGATCTTTTTTCCCTTCCTTGGTTCCTTCACAAATAAAACTTAGAGAACGAATATACATATGTACTGACCTGTTATGTTACTTTGTTGTCCATCCAAATTTCAAATACAGAAGAGCATTTGACAGTGGCATCCAACGTAGAAGCGCAATGAATTTGTTAGTGCTTTTTTGCCAGTTTTACATTCTTCAACTTTGATTATGCAGATATTGTATCATGAATGTACCAAAAAACATTGAAATGATGAGTGAAAGGAACTTGTTGACTATGTTTTGAACTTTTTCTTTTAGTTTCATTTTATTACCACCCGTTTTTTATAATGACAGGACGAAGTGTAGCTTTTCCTGGCCATGGTTTGGGTTCTGGGCTTACTCCTACAGCTGCGAAGGCAAGAAATTTTGTACTGAAGATTTGACATTGATTTCAAGTGGCGCTCTTGAGGTCTATTAATAAAGCAAATGTTCTTATTTAGATATAAGAATACAAACATAATCCTTTTTTGTGGGCTTTGGAGGGTGGTTCTGTTAAGTGTTGAACCCTAGGTCTTGGCTAAGTTTTTATTCATTCAAAATTGGTAACTTATGTTTTCAGGAACTGGGTCTGCTAGCTGGAACACCTGTTGGGACATCGCTGATTGATGCTCATGCTGGTGGTGTGGGGGTAATGGAAAGTCTACCCAAGACAGATTGTGAAGCTGAAGGTTTATCAGTGAAGAACTATTTCACCTTTTCTTCAATTGCTTTATTAACAGTAATTTTTTAACTTTTTGGAAAATGGTACTTCTTCAGAGAATGATAATGAAGCTATAAGCCATCGTATGGTGCTGGTGTGTGGCACTTCTACTTGTCACATGGCGGTATCGCGGGACAAGCTGTTTATTCCTGGGGTGTGGGGACCATTTTGGTCAGGTATAGTCTGAAAAATCATAATCTTGGTTATTTAGCGGTCTATGAAACTGGGTTTACTAAAACCATCAGATAAACTCTAGCCAACTACACATCTATATATTTTCTCATTTGTAACTAGCACTTACACACAGTCACACATGGCTATACATAATGTGGATTGGGTTAGAGACTTCTCTCAAAGCTAACTCATTCCTTAACCATTCTTCTTGGTCACTTACATTAATTCCCAACAGTATAATGTGAATGACTTTGTATTTTTATTATGTAAGGTTACGTACTTAGTTTTTTAATTTTGGCGGATCCTCAATATTAATGGTAATTCTATGTTTCCATTTCCCTTTATAGCAATGATACCTGAGTATTGGCTCACAGAAGGTGGGCAGAGTGCTACTGGTGCATTATTGGATTACATAATTGAAAACCATGTTTCTTCTCCTCGACTTGCAAATCGTGCTGCCTCTCAAAGTAAGTAATTGGCTACTTTCCCCCTTTTTCTGCTTCTAGGCGTTGGCTTGACTTCCTATTCTCTGTTCTATATCCCAGATACTTCCCTGTTTCTGCTGCTGAACAATATGTTAGAATCAATGATGTCTGAGATGCAGTATCCGTTTATAGCTGCTTTGACTGAAGATATACACGTCCTTCCTGACTTCCATGGAAACAGGTAAACCTTTAAAGATTTTAGTTATGAGTTTCTAGTTCTTACTACCTACTTATCTTTATGAGTTTTAGAATTTACCATTGTGATGAAACAGGTCTCCGATTGCAGATCCAAAAGCAAAAGGAGTTGTGTGTGGATTGACTCTCGACACTAGTGAGAAACAGTTGGCTCGACTATACCTTGCCACAATGCAGGGTATTGCATATGGTACACGTCACATTGTGGAGCATTGCAATGCCAATGGTCATAAGGCAAGAAATGCATATCTCTCGTTTGTGATCCACTTATTTTAAGCAGATATGTTTGTTCAGCTGTTAAACTTTAATAGTTTTAAAGTTCCATATCTATAAAGTAATCTGCTCCCCTTTCTGGGTTTCTGAATGAGTTTTTTCCTAATGACAAAATGCAGATGGTAACTTTTGCTAGTTTCCCCATCATTGTGTCACTTGTCTTTGTCTTTAATAAGAATGAGTGTATTACTTTCCCTTTAAAATTGTTTTCTGAAATCAATGTTAAATTTGTTATGCTTCTGTGGGATGAACATATGTTTTTAGTTTTAAAATACAGTCCATGAAAGATAGTTATCCTATACCGGTGACAGAACTTGGACCATTCATTATTATGAATATGCGCAGCCTCAAATGGTTCCAGAATTCCGGTTAGTATGAATCCAGTGCTGCTATTTCTCTGCGCATTAGGAATTTGCTCTCATCCTTAACCAAAACTCAAGATTTGCATTGTTAATTTTTTGACAAAAAAGGATAGAGTGGCTATAGAGGTCTGCTCTCTCTCTATCTCTTTGGTATTTCAGATTCATCTTCCAATGTTGAAAATTTTGATCTATATGAGTTTTTCCCCCCTCACTGGTGACCAGTTCAATACTATGTTCTTATTGATTGAAATAATTATGAAATTAACAAGGGCTGTTTGTGATAAACAGCTTGGTAGTAGTTGACTTGGAATTAAGTGATTGCATACTGAAGAATTAAGCAAGGATTAATTTGAGCTTAGCACTGAGAGCACCTAATAATTTCTTGCAGCATTCAAAAGGTCCACAAAATATAGGCCACCTGCCTTAACGGATAAAACTGGAATTAGCTTATCCTAGGACCAACCTGGAAGCAATCATTTCAGTCCAGCCCATGATGCCTGCTTTGGCTATGTGATAAAGAGTGTAAAGTTTCCTGTCTAGTTGTCAAATGATGATCTAGAACGGCTGCTGGCAAATGGCCTTACTAGTTGTCAAATTGGCCCCCTTTCCACTCCCTGCTCCCCACTCACACCCCTTCATTTTCCCTTCTCGTATATACAACAAAGTTGAACCTTACTGATGATTAGGGAAAACTTAATGGTTCAATTGGTTTTTTATTTATTTTTTAAATAAGCAAGTGTGAATTACCCCATTCTTGCAAACAAATATTTAATATCTTTGGGAATTTGTGCCTCATTGACTGGTAACGTTTGGTTGGACCATATCAATTGATCTTGGTTCCCAAATGCAGTCCCTTGACCTTGATGTCCAGATACATGTCAACTTGCAAGGAGCTTAAACTTAAAGCCATCTAATTATTTCTTGTTAATTGAATATGTTTCTGCTGCTGTTTATGACTAAAGAAGAGGGTTGCTTGGCATTGAGGCATTGATTCTTTATAATTCATTTCGCCAACCCTTGAAGTCCTTTCTTATTATGTCTTTCTTCTTGTGCAGATTGACACATTACTTGCATGTGGTGGTCTCTCAAAAAATGCCCTCTTCATTCAAGAACACGCAGATATTATTGGTTTGTGCATTTGTTTTCTTTCTTTTTACATGCATGTGCTGTACTGTGCACATGTTCATGCATGCAGATACCTTTATTGACTAGTAACTTTCATATATCAATTTGTCTATAAAATTAGTATGTTTATAGCATATAAAACCTTTTTTCTGTGGGGTATATGACTTTTTAGACCAATGATTCTTTTTCTATGCCCTTGAATGCTGAATTCCATCTTGTCGTACATATTTTTAAATTTGAGAGGAAAAGACAAATTTTCTACTCATAAACAAACTTTTAAATGTGAAAACTTCTTAAGTGCCATTTGGCACCACAGTATGGTGTGGTTGGGGGGACTCCTCACCCATACTGTATTGTGGTGCCAAACGCACCCCTAGTAAGACAATGAACTGTAATTTATAGAGGTTTTGGTACAGTCAAGTTTTGGATCCAACTATAAAGAGAAAGAAAGGAGCACGAGTGGATAGGGTGAGTGCAAATAATTCCTTCAGGAATGATTCAAGAATGCATCATTTAACTTGGCATTGTTGGCGTGGATAAATTTTTGTTAGGAATTGTAGAACTTGTTCTTCTCCTTGATGAGTTTTGCGGGCTTGGCATTTGACCTAGCTTGGATTTCATATCCTTTACTTGTGCAAGTCATTTATTGAATAGCATGTCGAGTATTCCACTTATTCTAATGAAAAGAGAATTGGTTATGAATTTAAATCTCCCATGAATGATGGACTTTGGCTAGATGTAGTTCGTACGATCCTAAATTACGATCAAGTGGGCAGGAAAAATCTTGAATCTAACAAAATGAGGAACAATGTAATACTTATTAAGTTTTTACACCTGTAAATTTGCTCCATCTTAGTGTGTAAAGAGTAGCCTATAGATCTTCCCTTGAAAGTGTGATTTAATGGATGAAAACTGACAGGGCCTCGCTTTGATTGAAGTTACTGAGGATATGGTCTTGAATAGAGTTTACTGGTTCAATATTATATAGCTGCCATACATAGTAGGAAAAGGCTTACTTTGTTGTTGTAGATACATGGGTGTGTTGTTATTAATGTGTTATTAATGTGCTGTCTTCCCCTCTCTCCTCTTAATTAGTTTCATGGATAAGATGTTCAAATTCCCATCAGTAAGCGAGATTAATTATCTTCCTTTCTTGGACCTTTTAGAATATAAGGTTTATACAGTTGCTTGGATTGTCTTTCCTGTTATTGTTGGAACTTAAGAACAGAGAAGTTTGTAGTCAGTCATGGAGGCAGGTTGTGGTATTAACTTGAGTACTTTGTACCTTCATTGAAATCTAATTTAACTGAAAGTTGAAAACACTAAGCAAATTTAGTATATAAATTATTATTCTTACATCACATTTGTTGTAGAAGACACTCTGAACTTGATTTCTGTAATTGTCTCGTAAACCAAGAAAAATGGGTCATCTAGAAGATGTTGGATTTAGCAATGGCATTTATTATCGCTGGGAACATGTTGATTAAAAACTGTGGCTTTCTTGCTCATAATTTGTTATTCCTTTTTGTTTTTTTGTTTTTTTTTTTTACCATTTGCTCTTAAAATATTTACAGGTTGCCCTATAATGCTTCCACGTGAAAGTGAGTCAGTGCTCTTAGGGGCTGCTATTCTTGGTGCAGTAGCTGCGAAGAAGTATTCTTGTCTCAGTGACGCCATGAAAGCACTTAATGCGGCTGGTCGGGTATGCAAAGTATTCCTTGTTTGTTTTAGTTGTCCATTAGCTCATGCTTTTATCATGAAAACATGTGTCACAAACATGTGGAAGCTCTAGCCAAAAATTGAGCTCTATTATGGTTTTAAACCTTGCATAAAATGGTTCAGCCTAGACAAGTCAACTGATGGTAATGCATAAAATCTGGCATGCAATTGTGGTCTTGTTTGCTTAGTTGGCCTAGGAGCTGTCTCTCATAGATTGGTATCAACTAATTGGAAAAGACATTTCTATGGCAGGAATCAATTTTCAATTAGGTCCATGATTGGGCTGGTACCTAGCTTGTTGATGTAATTTTATCTGACTGGCTAAAATTATATAAATCGGATCCTCAGCAATTAATTCAATAAGCATCTCTAGAGTTAATTACACAACCCATGTCATATCACTTGTTTTATGTGGTTCAATAGATGTCGCTGACACTGAACTTTAGCAAGTAGGAGTTGCAGATGCCCCAGTGAAACCTTCCCCTTTGTTTCTGGTGTTGTATTCGTTCTCATAACTAGAGGAGCAAGCCATCTTAGATTCATGCCAATAGTTGGTCTTTGACTTCTTGAAACCATGCAGGTCATTCATCCATCAAAAGACCCAAGGGTGAAGAAGTATCATGATGCCAAATACCGAATTTTCCTTGAACTTTATGAGCAGCAGCTATCGCATCGTTCCATCATGGCACAAGCATTGGCATAGATTATGAGGTACATGGTTGCAACTTGGGAATGCTTTTCTTGAATTGGGTTTTTGAATGTTAAGGAAGTGAGTGGGACTGTGTAAAGTTACTGGATTACTGGTAAAGATACTTGCGTAAATAATTGGTGTTGTAGTTGCATGTGAAAACTAGCGCAGACAGGAGGACCTGAATTAGGATTAATGGATGAGTTTCACATTTTTAATTCCTTTAGCTGGAAATCATCTCTCAATGGAGGAAATATAGGGGGGGTAAGAAAGAGAAGGTAGGAATTTGGAATGAAAAGGGACTCTTTCCATCGCATATATACGCCTCTTCTTGCTTATCCTAAAGTTCATTGAGTTGAGTCCTTCAAGCTGGGTGTTATTTGGAAACAAAAATAAATGCATAATTTTATGGCAAATCGGGTTGAATTTCTTTTAGTTTAAACTCAAGCAGCTTGCTACAACAGTTTGTTTGTTTGTTTTATAATTTTAAAATTAAAATTTAATAAAAAATTTTGTTGTTTATTGATAAAATAAATTAATCCGATTTAGTTGGGCTCAAATCTAAAATATTATGTCCAAATTCAATTCTTAATGAGTACGTACACATGGCACGGTTTTATATTTCTAATCTCAAAAAAATGTGTATTAGATAGATGAAGGTTTTTACTTACAAGTTTAAATATAAGATTCAGGATTTTTTTTTCTATTCAATTATGAAACGTTACTATCGCATAAATTCTTTTATCTATAAAAGGGAGAACATTTTCCTTCACTCAATTAAATACTCTAATTATGATTTCGTTGAATAGATTGCACTTGAAATGAATTTGATTAAAAAAAAAATAGTAGGATTGGCAGATTGGCTAGCGTCAACGAGTCTTGTTTTTTGGTCACGTCATCTATTTGATTAATGAAATTAACGAGGTGTGTAATGTACTTGATGGAATGAAAGTTAAAATGCTTATTTGCAAATTTATTTTCTTCTAGTGCCAAATAAATAATTTCATTATAATTCAGTGTGAAATGTTTAATTAATCCAATTTTATTTATGCTAATGATATGTTAAAAATTAAACTAATATGGAGACATATTGGAACTTGTATAGGTTTTACCTATTATTATTAGCTTTTCAAATGTCAACTCCTTTTTCGTAGATTGTTTACCAAGTTGGCATTTTGGGAACCTTCACGAGCATGGTAGGCCATTTTAGTATAATATGCTTGAAAACAAAGGAAAGAAAATAGAGAGGGAAGTAGCACTCAAGCATTGAGGTAATTAGTTAGTATATAATCTCCGTACTTAAATCCATTCTCTTAAATTTTAAAAAAAAATGGAGAGGGAAGTAAAGGAGCACGAAGGAAAATTCACATTCCTTTTGATTCTTTGGCATCATTAAATGCAAAATTAAAGAAAAAGAGAAGAATTAATTGTGAATTACAAGTAAAGCAAATCCTTTAATGAAGTTAGTGTATATGATTTAAACCTTTCATTCAATTTTCTCCTTGCTACTGGTGAAATAGATAAGTATCATTAATAAAATTTAATTCCAACAAGTTTTTAAAAAAAAAGATTTGGCTCCCTTACATTTTTTTTTTTTTCGATTTGAGAGAATGAGGATTTGAACTTGCTTTTTAAATAAGAAGATCGTACATCAATCAATGAACCAATTGCTCTGGTATTCCTTATATTCTTTTATCTATTATTTTTAATACATTTATTACCACTATCATATGTGTAAGATTCATTTATAAATTGTGCATCTCCAATATATGAATGGTAATTAAAGATATAATGAAAGGAATGAATATAAAAGCATTGAAAAAAAAATTAAAAACCCTTCAAAAAAAATGAGAGAAATTGAAAAGTGAAAAAGTGCCTTGCATGAGAAGAGACAATAAATAAAGACTTTTCTTATAATTTATCCTAGTAATTGGTTATAAATTACTTCAAAGTACAAGTGCAATGTTTAATCCATTGTGAAATAAGGAATTATCCTCAAGTAAATTTTGCTAAATTCTTTTGTTTTCCCATCTTCATGGTTAGTTACCAAAGGATGCTTCTTTTTAAAATTTTTCATACATATCATTTAAACTTATTTTCAATCAAACATAAAATAAAAAAAAAGGTGAAATAGAAAAATCCTATGAGATTTCGATGAAAATATATTAATTTTTATGTCAAATTTGAAAAACATCTTTACCTTCTCAACAAAAATAATAACATTAACAATCTATTTGACATGAATTGATGTGATATATTATTAAAGTTTTTAAATAATTATTTCATCTTATTACTTCTTCAGAGAAGATAGAGTACTTGATTCTAATAAATAAAGTACTTAAAAGAGTGCAGACAAACTCCTTTGTCGACGTCTTTAATTGTCTAAAGCTAAGTCTTTCAAGAGTTATTATTTATCAAGGCACAATGAGATATTCTCCTTATATTCACTTAAAGAGAACCAATTATTGATCATTAACTTACCTTTATGCATTTCATGTTATATCCAATATTAAATCTTTTTGAGTACCTTTGGTTAGGACCATTTTAAACAATATCAAAGCATATTATTTTACACATAAGGTAACTAAATGATTTCGAAGTCTAAAGATAATTTATATAATTATCACATAAAAATTTATTCCATAGACATTTTAGTGATATATCAAATAGAATTCTCATGCTCGGTCATATTCAGTGAATTTGTTCTGATAAAAAACATCAACGTGTTAGTTCAAGTATCTCCATACTTCAATTCATGAGATTGATTACTTATTTCACAAGTGATAACCTTGTGCGTTATGTTTTATCAATATCTATTTTTCTCAATAAAACTTTGACTATGAGTTATTTAAGAATAAAGCCATGATACAATAAAGTTCTCATAATCATAACCTTTTATAATACCTTTTGCAAAGGATATAACATTTTATGAACTTTATTTCAACTAATTGATATTTATAAATCTTTTGAAAATAAAAAATACCTTTTTATAAATAATAAATGTTTAAATACAACATGTGTTTATGTACAACCAATCAATTGGTTTACATGGCATATAACTACACTATCATAACATTGAAATTTTTAAGGTGTGTGACCTATTAAGTTCTCAATAAGTTGGCAAGGATTAGATGAATGAAACAACTTGTATTCTTCATCAATTTCCTAATTGATTACTTAATATTTATAAGTCAAAATTGACATCTAGCAATGTGTCATTACTACCCAAATATTAAGAAAAGTCAAAGAGCTTAGCCTATTAATGTAATTTAATCTTTCATAATCCAATATCCTCAATAAGATATAAAGCATGGTGAAGTGTTTACTCTATATTTGTCGTTATAACTTTAGATCTTACAATCTTCTCAACTCATTAATGAATTTTGAAAACTCATTTTCAAATCTTATTTAACTTTAGTCAAAGATTTGATTGAGCTAAGTCATACCAAGAATCAATAGGGCGATGTATCCTTATCTATAATTCATTTATCTTCATGTGTTTATGACATACCAATATAAACTCTACTTTACATCCTTGGCTAGAGCTACCTAAAGTAATGCCAAAGTATTACAACCTCCACATAAAATAAACTGATAATTTCAAGTCTAATGATCACTTGTGTGATTGGCACATAAGAATATTTTCATAAACAATTTAATGAGATACCAAATGGAATCTTCATGGAGGGTTATGACCAATGCACTTTTACTTGTAATAAGCATTAATATGTTATTTTCAAGTATCCTAATATTTCAATTAATGAAATTGATTGCTTGTTGCACAAATAAAGAACATAACATATGCTAGTCTCTTAGCTTATATGAATGCCTTATCTTAATAAAGCATCAGCTAGAACCTGTTTAGAAGTAATGCTTTAATACAATGAGGATTTCATAATTATAACATATTATAATTCATATGTAAAGTGTATATACTACAAAGATTTTATCTTTTAAATAATAGACATATGATAATATATAAAATTATAAATAAAAAAAACCTTTATTACTTCAATGCATTAAATCAGGAACAATGTTTTACTGGAAACATATCGACTGGCTTGTAGGGCACACATTGACTCTAACAATATGTGATGATCATGACTTGTATCTAGGGCATAGAACAAGCATCTTTGTTGATGTTGCAATGACTTTCGAATAATTCCATCATGGTCAATCAGGGACTGCATGCAGTGTGCTTAAAAAACTAACGATGTTTTGTTAGGTGAAGATATAATTGCACACGTGGGAAATTTTGGCATTGCAAAAATCTTGGTTGAAAATAAAGTTGCAAACTAAACCAAGACTTTAGGCACCACATTGCACTAGATAAACATCCATTAACTCATTTCTGTATGCTTTCCACCATTGGCTACCTATTTGACGATAGTTAATAAATGGTGTTGGAACAAACCTCTTTTCTAAAAAAGAATAAAAAAAATACTAAGTAATTACTAGTAGATGATAATCTTTATTAATTACTATATTAACATAGAAATCATGATAAAAAAAATAATTAGGTTCAGAAGGAAGAGTTTGGATAAAAGCAAACACGTATAGCTAAGATATATTACTTCTTGAAACAATTACCAAAAGAAAAGCAAGAAATGAGATGTTTGAATTTGAGGCAATGGGTAAGTGCATCACTTTCTAATTCTTTTAAATGAAGTGATTAATGTTGCTTTACTAGAGATTTTGGTGCAATACATGATTGTCTTTTATCCATGTTGGAATTGAGCTTAGAGTGGACATAAAAGATATAGTGGGAAAGTTAAACAAGAACAAATTGAACTTCTTAGGCACACTAGAATTAATATATAACTAGTTACTGACTCATGCTACATTGCAAGAATTATTAATTGACATATAATTTGATTAGTTAAATAATTTGATAACATATTTTATTATGAAAAAACAAATTGTTCTTCTGCAGATAAAGCCATTTGATTATAAAGTAGCTTTGAATCAGGTTAGGTAGGAGTTTACTACAATAATACCATATTTGCTATCACTGCATACTAAATTGACAATTAATATTTTATATAACTACAAAAATAATTCATTACAAAATGTAAAAAAAGTTATTTTATATTCAGTGATGAACAACTAAACACTCTATTATCTAAAAAACAAGGTGAACTTTGATATATACAAGCGATTTATGCAAAAGTCTAAAACAAGGTATGAATTGACCTCAAATCATGTCAGAATTAGTGAAAAATTGCAAAACTAGTTGGTGCTACATAGACGAAGAGGCCATGGATTACCCAATTCAGAAAACTTTTACATATGACAAAATGAAAAAGGCACTTGTTTAAACTTTACACAAGAACACAATCTTCGTTAATTGCTAAAAAAACAACAAAAGATGATAAGAAGTTTAAATTTCATTATAGAAACACGTCTTATATGATCA